AAACCCGGCATATCAGTTTTGTTCTTTATTTTTTTAGAGTCAAAACTGGAGCGAAACAAAAGAAAAGACAGGCAAAAATAAATTGTAGACGACGATTAAAATCAAATCGTTTTTGCTCATCAAAAGTGCATATTTACCGTACAATAACGGTGAAAAAACATTCTGATTTGTGTATTTAATGTCGCCGATGCTCACAATAGGATTTTTAGATTGCATAAAACATCAACCAAAAAATGCTTTGGATGGGGTAGACCGACGGTTGCTGGTAATGGGTGTACCAGTTGCGACGAGAATCTACCCGCGATTCTTAGTACCTCTTTGTTGTTTACTGAAGCGATCGTTTCGCAACTTTTGCGTCATTACTAAATTTATTGTCGAATCAAACTTTCATAAGCTACGGTAGCTGTACCTTCAACATTCAGCATCTTCTCCTGAACATTTTCACGTTTAAAGAAGTTTTATAAGAGCAAAAAAAAAAAAGAAAAAGTAAACGCTTCACTGTCTTTTTGACTGTTTCAACAGTTAAAAATGTAAAAAAAGGTGGTAATAATAGAAAAAATTTTTATGAACGAATGAACTTATGAATTTTTATTGCCGATATTTATTCCAAATGTTTCTGCATAGAGCTTCTTTTTTTCTATATCTATAAAAAACCACTTTTTAGTTTATATCAAGTCAGTATTTTTTTTTCTTTTTTTGAACTGTTTATGTATTTATAATAGAAAGTTAAATAATAATTTTTTGTTAATAATTCTTAACAAAATTACCAACTGCAGCCGTGCAAACATCTGATCAAACCATTGAAAAAAAGACATCAGAATTTCTTAAATATTTTAGTCACTGTTGCAAGAGAAAATTTTTTATATTTTTCTTATCTTTTTTTTCTAGTTTTAAATCTTTTTGTACTTATCAATTCTTTTTATCATTCAAATGAAATTGAAAAAATTTCTTGAATATTAGTTTTATTAGCTTTTGTTTTTTCTTTCTTTGGCAAATTACTGACGCTTCATTATGCTTTTAGCTTATATATTAAATTAGAAAATTACTGACTCAAATGCTTAATTTTACAGCAGTGTAAACCTCGTTCTTTTTAACTTTTATTAATCAACCAGTTTTGTACAGGAAAAGTATATTTTTATTTTTCTGCTTACCGTAATCATGTACGATTAAGTCGAAATTAAACAGTGCTATAAGCAGCGTTTGGTATAAACATTTACTGTCTAATCAAGTGAACAATTAACCTGTATTGAAATAATGGATCAAAGCAGTGGTGACATTAAGTGTAGTTGACGATGAACAGCTTAAAGTTTCTTAATTTTGCAATTTGTTTAATAAATTACCTCCAAAGTTCAATTTGAATTGAGATCAACAGTTAATGTTGTTGACATTGGATTGATTGCATAACTGATTACCATTATTGGCATTACCATCATTGTTATTATAAGGATTAATGTTGGCCTATAGCATACAGTGTAAAAGTGTCCATACTCATTAGATTTCTGCATGAACAATGGAAACAACAGTAAATAGGTTGACTTCATTTTCACGTTAATTAGTTCAGTTCATCAAATTCATTTTCTATTGAACATAGAAGAGGAGGATCAAATTCACTTGAGTATGCCTCGTCAATACAGATCATTGTCAAGCTTAATAGGGTCAAGATGTCTTACGGTTCATCCTCGGCCCATATCGACACAACTTGTTGCTTCTGTCGCCAAACAGATGAACTTCAGCTTTTATGCTTGTTGTATTGGTTGGCTGTTGTAACAAGAGGCTCTGTTATTATAGATTTGTGTCAATCTGTCAATTTCAATAACTGTTCAGCAAGGTTAAGAACAGTTGTAAAATGTCAATTTCGATAGATGTAATTAGAAATAAATAATTTAAATAGCAAAAAAGTCATTATTATTTTTTCCTCTCTTTGCTTAGCTAAAAAATAACTGAAGATTAGAGACCAAAATAATCTGCAAATTTAATAAAACGTTTTTTGGACTACAGGAAAACGGTAGGTGTTAACTACAGATGAAAAAATGAGAAGGAATTCTCGACGGTATACAATGAAAGTTAATGCAGAAAGTTGGCAGCATTATTATTTTAAAAACCGGATATACTTATTTGCAGCATTTATTTTTGATTGCTTAGTTTTTCTTCTTTAATAAGGGAAAAATTGTACATTTTCTAATAAAATATAGTCGACAAACTTAAGATTTAATTAATTAAATCAGATAGTTACGGTAAACAAAAAAAAATTAGGTTCAATAAAATTGAGCATAAATCTGAACAAGAAATTATTAGAATTACGTACAGGTGCAAGAAGTTTTATTAACACTACTAAACACTGTATTTCAATGGTATACATTACTAGAGCAGTAATGTACACTGCTAAAAAGCTGCGGTCTGAGGTCACCGACGATATTTTATTGAACCCCTTACTAAAACATTTAAAAATTAAGAAAGTGAAGATTAGGAAAGGGGAGAAGAAGACGAGAAGGTAAAAAAAGTGTAGGCAATGAGTATATGAATAATTAAAATTACTTGTCAATAAAATTAGCAAAAAGAAAAAGATAAAGAAAAGCATCTTTTTTTTGGTTAATCAGTAGATTTGTAAAACAGTAAAATTGTTGTTTGTATTAACAGGTAAAATTAATAGGTATTATAAAATGAAGTACAAATTAGAAAAGTAAAGTTAAAAAAAAATAGTGCAGCAGTAAATAATTGTTTCATCAACTGTAAATGTTTATAACAGAACTTTTGAAGTGGAAGAAAATTGACAAAGAAAAAAAGAGTGTTTTTTTTTTCTTTACTGTTACTAAATTTGTACACACTATTCAATTAAATTTATTTGTTACCATAATATCGGATAGAAAAAAAAAAAGATAGAAGTAGAAAAAAGCTGAAAATAAGAGTTTTTAAAGATAAATTATCGAGCAGTTGTTCTGTTGACAGAAGTGCCAAAGCTTTTGAATGAGAAAAATTACATTTGTGTGTCGGTGTTCTTGTACAAAAGCCCAAGTATCAACACCCCAAACATTTAATCAGATTTGATCATCATCCTCAGTGCTAATACAAACAATTAATGTAAATTACAATCAAAAACCTCTTGTTTTTACGAAAAAATTTCATATACTTGCCATACATACAGTCTTTTCATTTTTCATCCGACTTACTTAAGTACTTCAGCATGTTTTTGCTTTTTCAGCAATAACAATCTCCTCTGCTTTGTGTACCCGAATTATAAATTAACAATGATATATTAGCAAAAAAAGTTAACATACAGCCCTTCTTCATCTCTTTTTCTTCCACTTTTTCTCTTCTTTCCTCTCCTCTCCTCTTCTCTCCTTCTTATTCGTTTTTATTTTTTGCTAAATTGAATATTGATGCTGTTATTTCTAACTTTTTTAATGATCATTTTTGGTGCTGCTGTTAGTGCTAGCTCAATCATGTTTTTAATACAGTAATCAGCATTTAAATCTAATAAAATTTGTTTGATCAATGGCTTTGTTGAGAAGCCAACCATAACCACAACTAAAAGAAAACAATAGAACAAAAAATAGGCTTATTAATTACAGAACAACATTTAAAGATGATTAGAGCGCAGCTGACATTGGAGGAGCAGTAAAGATGAAAAACTACTGCTGAGTATCAATAAATACATTGGCATAAAAATGTATAAACACTAAATGTACAGTTAAACAAAAACAACAAAAACGACAACACAATATTCTAAAATCATCAAAAATGATTAAGAATATCAAAAGCAAAAAAAAAAAAAAAAAAAAAAAAAAAAAAA